CTGTAGAGCTACAGTAGTTAGTCTGGTTCTGTTCCTTTTCCAGTATAAAAGCAGTTATCCAGCTCTGGACTGGTACTTGTGAGATACATAACCATGAATCAGCTGGTGATATTTTGTTGTAGGGGACTGAACCTTAACTGCAGGGCCTTTTAACCTCACTGAAATAAGGCAGCAGCAAGCAGGCAAGCCACCTAATTACCAGATGGGAAAATGATGCCAGTACAACATATTGAGGGAGATAGATATTCAGGCAAGAGCAGACAGAGCGAGTTTCTCTGAGGAAATGAGCAAAAATGAGTTCTCCCCAGCACCTCTGTGCAACTATTGCAAACATGGTGCGTCTTGCGGGCTGAGCTCTCCATATATCGTTCCAGGGCAGTTATATGAGTATCCCCATTGTACTTTCATATGGACTGCTGTATGCACATGACGTAATGATTGCATTAAATGCCTTGTCAGCATGCACTAGAGTAACACAGTGGCTCTTATTCCCTATACAAAGCCACTGTTCCTGCCTTAAGTGCAAGGCACTGCAAAAGTCTTGCAAGAGTAGAATGCCCTCCTTACACAGGGCAGCCCAAAGAGTGAGCCTTCTGTCTAGCATGCTTCCTACTGCAAGAGCCATATGCAGCTGCCCTCACTAAGAGCTTCCAACACTTTGCCTCCATTGCCAAGTACCTGAACTGAAATTTAATCTTAACTGGGGAAGACCAAAGAATAATCCAAAGCTTTCTCAGGAAAATCCCCACATACAGAAAGCTGTTTCAGGAGTGAGATACATGCCAGACACCTTATAAACTGGATTTGTAGCAAGCCTGCATGGAAAGACAACTTTGACACACTGAAATTTGCCTTCTCTTTTGTTAGGAAATCCTGTGCACTCTAGTATTTTCCTTGAATATTTAAAATATTTTACCCAAGGAGAGTCTTTGTTTCCTCCTCAACTGTGAGACAGCCAAGAAGAATTTAAACTAATGACTTAGTTTGCCTCAAGACAAGTTTGAAGGATGAGATTTGGTTTTAAATCTTGACCATTTTACACTGTTGGGTTTCTCTCCTGTGATTAGAATCCAAGAGCTCTCCATAGTGGTGCCTGTGCATGCATTATCTACAGAGACGTTTAAAGAACATTGTTTTGTCTGGAAACCACACACACACATTGTATACACCAGGGTGATACTACTCACAGGTACTCAAGTGGAAACTGGTGTTTCTTGGAAAAACATCATCAATTTTTCCAGAATTTGACACCAAGACCTTTATTAAGTATGTCTTCTTTAATTGCAAGGGCAGATTTGAGGACACTATGCTCCCATGTTTGCTAGTCACATTACTGTATGTATTTGGTTCTTAGTTTCTTCAGCAAACACTGCTTCCCCTATGCTTGGCATATTATCCTTCCTATCTACCTTCGAAATTCTCTGCCACTGCCAGAACTGCTTGTTGTAACCATGTGGCATTTCCATAAGACTCAGTCATGTGTCATAGTACATCTCTGCAACAAATACTCTTTCAATTTAAACTACTACCACCCAACTGGTCTGGGACAGAACCCTTCACAGAGCTGTCCCTTACACTGCCACACAACATAATGCCCTGGGACATCATCAGCATGGAGACCTTGAAGGGCAAATTAAGCTAACGTAGTTGTGGGAGCACCCAGCAGAAAGGGAAGGTCACAGCCTGGCTGCACTAACGGGCTGGAAGACAATTTTGCCAAATCAGGCCTCTGAAAAGGGTGTCACGTAAGGCCAACAAGCCAACTGAAAATGTAGGTGGTCAAAACCACTGATTTGAAATACTGCTTTGCTTTTGTTATTTGAGTACTCAAGAAAACACATCGGATACTACCACCCCCACTGTACTGAGTAGGAAAGGTGCAACGACTTTAACTTGATCCCAAAGATCAGCAAAGATCAGTGTTGGAACACCAGTGACTTCCTGACTTCTTGCAAGGCCCACATGCCCTGCTATCTACAGCCGGACAGATAGACACCTCTGTTTACAGGGGACAGCCTGAAAGTCCAAAGCTTCAATTCAGATGTGAAGCATGATGGGAAACATAACTAACTGCCTTTTACTGCTGTTGTGTAACAGGCTATATTTGCACACCATAAACCAGCAAGAACTACAGAGTTATTTGCATATCACTTGTAGACAGATCTTGCCAGCTAGACTCAAGTTTTTTATTTAGCATTATTTGGTCTCTTTTGGCAGGAGGAGGCGTGGAATCAGAACTCTATTCAGCTTTTCTTCCCCCCCCACCCCGCCCCGACAACAAGAACAGTTAATGACAAGGAGAGATGAGAAAGAAAGAAATTATTTAAAAAATAAGAAAAAACTATCCCTTGAATTCCTGGAGGTCATTTCCTCAGCTTTCAGCCAAAGAGGAAATTACCTCCTTCTCTGAGCTACCATGAAGTTCACTCCCAGTTTAATTATCAAGGTAGGCAGAAAAAGCAATACCCACAAAAGGCAATCCCAGCAATACTGCTGAAAAACAGCCAGTAGCAGGGTAGAAGTCTTGAGTAGCATCCATTCCTCTGTTGAAACGCAAGGTTTTAAGGTAATGCAGGTGTAAGTTGGTATGCAACAGGACTCTTGCAGAAAATTAAAGCTTCTTAGAACATATTCAGCACAGAAATCAGCTATAATGAGCCCAAAAATTTTCTTTCTCCAGGCACCTACAGCAACCTAAAACTTAAAAGTTACCCTCAAAACCAGGCTTTGAAGGCCTGCTTTGGGCACCACAGATACTTGTTAATGAGGGACCCTTCCAGAACACTGCCTGAATGCTGAACAGCCAGGCAAGCGAAAGCTCCGAACAGCTTCACACACAAGTCCTGGCTGCCTGCAGGCTCTCCTACATGGGATCGCTTAGGTCAGCCCTTGCACCCAGCAGGAGCCCCTTGACAGCAATTCTGGCAAGGCAAGTAGGAACATGCCAGACACCCACACTACCAATTGTCATGAGGCTGTCATCTTGTACATGAGGCATATGTACCTTGTAATTACACAGATTTGGGAATAGTATTGACTAACAACCAAGAAAAATAATTTGCACGGTCCTCCAAAGACCATGGACTCATTTAATCCAATAGCAAAGAAACTGAACCTTGTGGCAAGACACAAAAGCTGAAAATCCAATGCTTTTTTATACTAAATGATGCCCTCCTGCTGACATTACTGTATTTTGCCAGAAGGCCTATAATGCCCATAAGCAAGTTCATTTCCAGCATCTCAAAAAAGCCAACCCAGACCCTGTTGCAAAAAGATCACTGTGAGAAATACTAGTTTTGACTGACTAGGGAATTGTCTACTTCCAAAGCAAGATGAAGCCTGACACACCAAGTAGTCAGACTAAACTCGGTTTGCATACTGCAGAGGTGGTAGCTGGCTTGCTGAGACAAGCCTGTTTTAAACAAGAGCTGCAAGTCTCGTCAGACTTTTTAACAACTTCAGCTGCAACTCCCATCAGCTCTGCTCTACGTTGCAGACCAGTCACAGATGCTCCAATTTGGGTGTTAGAGGAAGCAGGGAGATTACTAGTACATCCTGTCTGCCAGCCCTGTATGGACTAAAAGTTCATTTACTGGATATACCACACATTCAAACTAATGAGAAATACCATGAGAAGGGCTCAATATGTAACACCTCTAATAAAGACAAAAAACCCAGACAAGTGTGTCAAAACACAAAAGTGTGTGTTGCTGGACTCAAGCAAAAACAGGACAGGAATTAAAATTGCATGAGCTAGTAATTCAGACGAATTTGCCAGTCACAGCTCCCACAGTTAAATAGGGATGCAAACTTTGAGCACAGGCAAAGCAAACCGAGAGGGAGCCACCAGGAAGTTGAAAAGGCATTTGGTCTATTCCGCTCCATTTATGCAAGGAGTTCCTTGGCACTTTTGGTTTTTTGAAAGCCTGGAAACACAGGAAAGTCAGTGTGTATGCTTGACACGTTTCTATGTTTGCAGCATAATGTCTTAGATAAAGTGTTTCCAGCACTGTGCGGAGGAGCAAAACAAATAAAAAAAAATCAACACAAAAACCAAGTCCTTGCAGCAACTATCTTAAAATTTAAACTTCCTCGAGAGGCCGCTACGAAACTCTGTTTGTTACGATCAGCGCTTCCCTCCATGGGTTCCGCTTCCCCCCTTTTGTCCGCTACCAGCGCTGCCGGCTCCAGCTGGGGCCGGCGAGCAGGATCCCAGCTGGCCCTGGGAGGGCCCGTGCTCGTCTCGGCTTCCTGTGGAGCCGACGCCGTTTTCTAGGCCAGGCCCGAGCCCTTCGGCCGTAGGAAGATGGCTCCCGCCGGGACCGCGCCGGGGCGGCTGCGGCGGCGGCCGCGCTTCCTCCCTAGCAGGGCAGCCCCCGGCCCCGGGGAAAAGGGGCCTTCCACCCGCGGTGCCTTTCTACCAGGTTGCGATCGCCTCCCACGCAGCCCCTCGCGCGGAGGGGCGGGGGCGACGATGCCCCTCTCCCCACCCCGGCCGCGCCCTGCGGCGCGGGGAGGGGCCGCGCATCGCCCCCTCACGGGCTCTTCCCGCCTCGCCCGCCCCCCCCCCCCCCCCCCCCCCCCCCCGTCACAGGGTAGAATGGACGCGCCCGCCCCAGTGCCTGTGTGCAGCACGGAACGTACCACCACTTCAAGGAGAGGTGAGGAAAAGGAGGAAGGACAGTTCCATCGCCTCAACGGGGGGAGAGTAACCTTCCGCCGCCTCATGGTGGGATGGGGGGGGGGGCGGCTAGGGGGAAGGGAGGACAACGGATTCGCCGCCTCAGGTTCAAAGGCGAACGGGAAGGATTGGGGGGGCTGAAGGGGGGGAAAAAGGAGAAGAAAAGGGGGGCGAGATACCGCCGTACCGCCGTGCCCAGCGGCGGCGCCAGCCAGGATGCGGCGGGCGGTACCGCCGCCCCCCTCCCCACTTTCCCTCAATGATGAAGGCGGGAGAGGGAGAAGCCTAACGCCCCCCTTGCGTCGCCCGGATCCCTACCATGGCGTCGGCTGGGCGCGGCGGGCGGGTGGGCGGCGGAGCGCGGTGCGGCGGCGGCGGCTCCTCTCGGGTGTCTGGGCGCGGCGCGGACTCCGGCGGCAGAAAGGGAAGCGGCGAGGGCGCGAGCCGGGCGGAAGCGCTGCCGACGTCACGGCCGCTGTGCCCGGAGGAGGAGGAAGCGGTTGCTATGGCGGGAGCCCCGCGTGGCGACGCCCTGGCCCCGCGCGCACGCGCGGGCGGGGAGGGGGCACCCGCAGCCCATACACACGGCCCCCTCCTGCCACCCGGTAGAACTGCCCAATCACAGGGGAGCCGCCGGCTGATTGACGCTTCGGCCGACCAATGGCGGCGCCCTCTTAAAGAGGTGAGGCGGGGCTACCTGCCCCAAGGTGTGCGGCGCGGCGGGGAAGGTGCCGAGGGGAGAGTGGTGGTTGAGGGAGTCGTGTGGGAAAGGATGGGGGGTGGCTGTCAGCGGGGCGTAAGGAGGATTTGGGCTGCTGAAAGCGGGGCTGAAAGGGACTGAGATGGGCGTGAGGGGTCGGGGGGCGTCCATGGGATGGCCGTGGGGCGGGCGGGAAGCCTGCGGGGCTAGGCAGCCACAGCAGAAACGGCCAGAGCCGAGCGGGCGGAAGAGCCGGCGAGGCGGAAGTGTGGGACTTTCCTTTCTCTTTTTTTTTTTTTTTCCTTCGAGGGTTTTTCACTACCTACTTTGGTGCGATCTCAGTTAGGCACTCCTGATTGGCTCGCGCTGCTGCAGCAGGAGCCTTGCGCTTCCCGCCGGCACCCGCGAATCCCGGATCCCGGCGTCGGCTTCATCCAGATGGCCGAAACAACCAGCTTTGTCCTCGGGACAGAGCTGATCCTGAGAAAACGCTGCTACGGAGACCGGGGCGCTCGGAGAAGCTGCTGTTCCGTGTTCATGGCAGTCCTGCTCACTCTGACCGCGACGAAAATACTCATTCCTTAATGTTTCCAGGCAGTGAAGCTTAGGCTGCTCATAAACAGAGTATACAGGCACCTACTGATGTTACAAAATATATAGAAAGTTAGGTTTTATTACTGAATCCTGACTGCAGTGATGTTCCCGGCTTTAATCGATAAGCAAAACCCCCCAGCATCAAGCTTATTTGTTAAGCCTGTGCCTACTTGTATGCAGAAAATAAAACCAAGACTCGATGGCATGTTTTCAGGGCTCGGGTATGAGGCAACTAGCATGAAACTTTAATTCTAAAGGTGTGAGCCATGCTTACACACCTTACAATTTTCATCCATATTGCTGTTCTAGTTAAAGGGGTTTGATTTTTTTTTCCCCTCCTTGCAGCCTACCCTAGTAAATGCCCTTTGTAGATGCTGTTAAGCCTGTTCACATTAGATAGAAGTTGCTGAAAGACCCCATACTGAAGATTCATGTATTGAAAAAGCAGTCCTATTGCATTAGTGCATCTTGTGTTGGGTGACTTACTCTGACCAGGGATTCCTTTTGTAAGAGAATTTGCAGCAGATTGGTGAAACTAGCAAAGACCTTGGACTTGAATTGGACTGAGGGGGTAGTTCTTCTTTAGGGTCTTTTCTGATATTTTTAATCATAGAATGCTTACATTTGAAACCAAATGTTGACTTACTTTGGAAGTATTGGCAAGAATTGAGCAGGGACATGTTTGATTTTTTCTTTTGAGATAAGTCAGATATAATGCCTGTGTAATAGGTAGAGCTTCAGTCCTAAGAGTATATTTCTCTGGACAACTTGTGGCCCTGCTTCCTTGCTCTGACTGTCCTGGTGGGGAGAGGAAATCAAGGCAGGCTCTGTTTGGCAGTGGGGATCAGTGCCATATGGCAGTGCCATGGCTGACCTCCATCTCCAGTGGCATGTAGCAGAGACCTGGAACAGCTGTGCTTTTTAATCTCAATTGATGTAATTTCTCTGTTACTGTTCCAAGCTTGCTCTTCATAGATGAGTTTCGCTATGACAGAGGGTTACAGAAGTGAGACATCCTGGGGAGGAGGGGAAGAGATGATGTAAAGTCATGAGAACAGGGCTGGGACTGTTTCATGTTGTATACTTATAAGGGAAAATGAGTTGGAACTGGCCCGTTGGCTCACTCTGTTTCAAGAGGTCTTTTTGGAAACCCTGCAGTGGGTTGAGAAGGTATATAACTGGTTAAAGAAACTTCAGTGAGGACAGGAACTCCTTCACCAGCAGAGTAAGAGAAATCTCTCTCACTTTTCCTGTCTCATGAGAAAAGTGCTTGCTCTGGGAAGGGCACTCACCAAGGACCATGATGACTTTTTGAATGATTGCATTCCCCAAAAGACAAAATAGCATATAGCCTAGTGAGGCATAAACACAGTGGCTGTGGTGCTTTGCGGAAGCTCGAGGCAGGAGCTGTACGCCAAGATGCACAGACAAGTTTGTGGTTATGGTGGTACCAGCCTGCCTTGGCATAGGCTCCACAGACTCCTCGTGCTGTAGCAGCACTGGCACTGGGAGCTCCAGCCCTGCACTGAGAGCTGCCTGCTTGGGATTAGCAGTACATATGTCGTGGTTTGGGAACCACTGCTGCATGTAAATTGTGTGCTGCTGTTTGCGCAGGGGAAAGGGAGTCTGGTTTTCCAGCCCTGTGCTGCTCCCTCATTTGACAGCCCTCTCCTCACATGTCTGTGACCTTAAGCATCACCCCTGTTTGCAGCCCTGCAGTTCCCTCAGCGAGGGCTTGCAACAGGGTCCTCTCACGGCTGCTGCATAGCTGTTGTCTTGGTGCCTGAAATGAGGGGAAGCTTCCTGTTTTGGGAAGGGCAGGAGGAAATTTTGGTTCTATTTACAAGGTCCCTTTCCATCATCCCACCCTTTTGATGGGATAGGGACCTGAGCAGAGGTGAGGAAGTTGTGCCTTGTGGCTTATTGCCACACTGACAGTAACCCTCCCACTGCTTACTGTGTGCTGCACACCCGTGTTATGGCCAGCTGTTATGGTGTATGAGTGAGCAAGGCTAAAGGCTTCCTGCGGTGAGACTTACCCCTTTGTCCTCACCTTTCAGTGCACTACAAGGTTGTTACAAAGACAGACGTGAATACTGTGAATTGCTACAGCATTGTGGAGAGGAAGGGGTTCTTTACTAGCTCTTCTGCCTTTCAACACTGAACAAGCTTTGTCCTTTTTTCCTAGTGTTAGTGCTATAAATAAGCTAGGCTGAAAGCTCAAGCTGTATGTTTGGATGAACCAATCTTGAAAGATGAATTCTCCTCCCTTTTTTAAGGTAAATGGTATTTGCAATCAGCCTGAAACTTCCCCCTCCTCACCCCAAAAAAATCCATCCCCTAGCCGTAGGGGACCCTGAGAAATTTCAGCAGTCCTGTAGCTGATGGTGACTGCTTTGGCTCCAGGCAGAAACACTGGTGTGAAAGTGCAGTTCACAAGTGTCTGTCCAGTGAATGATCGCTTCAAAATCCAGCGTGGTCAATATAAAAAGTCACCCATAGACTCCATTTTTGTATGAGGCCCTGCATCAACAGAAACCCCAGATCAATACATCTGCCTCACTGACTAGCATTTGCTAGAATCACATTTGAGAGGGTGACTACTTGCTTACTTTATACGCCTCAGCTATTTGAACTCCCCCTCCTGTCCTCCAAGCTACTGACTCATTTCCTCCTCTAAAACCTTCCTTTTTTAGCCTTTCGCTCTGAAGTATTTGGTGGCTGTTTTGAGCTGCGTGCTCCATACCTTACTTAGGCAAACTCCTACATGACAGCCCTGCAAGCCTTGCTTTTGTACCATGGAAATCGTTTGTTTTTCCCTAATAGTTCTAAGGGGCAGTCTTAGCTACTGACTGTGTTCTTTGGCAAATTGCTTCTTTGCTGTTTGAAATCAGGGAGGCAGACAATCGGCAAAGCAGCTGGTGAGCTGAGGCTGCCTCTACTTATGCTAATTACTGTTGTCTCCCTCTTAGCCCCCGCTTTCCCCATCGGGCTGCATCCACCTGCTGTTTTTCAAACATTTCTACCCTGATCTTGCAGTTCGAGCAGGGATCGCAGAGACTTCTCTTAGGCTGGACAACCACCCCATGACTGCAAAGCACCCAGATGGCAGGATCAGGCCCTGACTCTATGTGCTGTCTCATGCAGCAAAAGAAACAGGTGGTGTCTCCCTGTGTGAGGCCTGGCATGGTGGTAGCCCAGAGCTTTGGTCATGGCTGATTGATGGTACTGTAACCACACTAGCTGTGTGTGCTTGAAATGTAGTCCCTTTTTCACATGACTTATGGAATATTGGTTCTGTACTTTTGGCGTCACAAGGATCAGCAAAGATAATTTTAGACAGGAACAGAAAGTTTCTGTAAACCTTACATTCGTAGCTATTTCACTGGCAGAAACAAAGCCACAAGGAGCCTTATCGCTGTGCATTGCTAAAACATTCAGTTTAGTAGGTGCATTGGAGTAAATATTTAAAGGGAAATTTTGGGAGAGAAGAAGAACCTAAAGGTGATTTCCAGAAAGTGCTGTGATGCTCCATTCCTTTTCTGAGGAGGCAGTGAGGTGCAGCAGACAGCACGCAGGAACTGAGAGCCCAGTGTCTGGTCCAATGCTCTGTCCTAGCCCGTGGAGTGAAACTGGGCAAGCTGCTTTTCCCCTTTACAATAGATATCTGGTTTTCAAGCGTTAACTTTGTTCCTGCCTTTTCTATATTGCAATTTGAGATTTAGTGCAGATCAGAGTTAGATGTTGTTTATAAATACTTGCTGTTTTTACAGTAATGAAAAGGCTGTCCTAAATTGCTACAGATGAATGCCAGAACTCATATTCCTTTTAATTTGCTGTCAACTTCCACAATTGCTGCAGGTTGCAATCCTTTTAATTTCCATATGGTAAAAACTGCAGGCTATGAACAACTGGACCAAAATCTGACCCTGCTTGCTGTTGGGTTAATTTTCATCAGAAAGCAGCTCTCATCAGAACCTTTCTGGATTGAGTGTGATGGGGAAGGTAGCCCAATGCTTCATCATCCCTGGGGCGTTTTTTCCACTAGAAGAACAAAGGAGGAAATAAAACAAGAAGGCAGCTCAGGAATGGAACAGCTCTATGTTAATTTAAGTATGCAAGAATGTCATCAAGCTACTCGCCTACCTGGCTTGTCTATTTATTTATCTTTTTTTTTTCCCCTTTGATTTTGTTGCCACTAAAGGGCCTGTCTGAAATACTTTGTATGGTGAGAATGAAATGCATCCTGCCCCAGAATCAGCTTAAGGACTCGTTGCTGCTCAGCTCTCCCCTAAATTGTCAAAACAGGCAATGTGCAAAACTTAAAATTATATGTTTTCCCTGCATACATGTGAACTGGATCTTAAACCCTGTCAGTCTGAGAAGGGAGGCTCATGTTGAGCACAGAGGCCTTGAACTTGTCTTAACCAGTGGGTAAAGCTTTAGGCAGCATCTCTGGCTGCATTACCTAAAAGCTTTGCAGCATTCACTGTGATTATGCTCCTGAGCTTTTGCTGTGAGACAGGGCTGCAGCCCCTCTTATAGATGAGGAGGGCTGAGCTGAGAGAGGCTGCACAACTCTCCCAGCCTTGGGCAGGAAATCTGTGGTAAGTCCAATGAAGCCTTTGCTACCCTTACGGGTAACACCCTAACCTTCAGGCCATCTCTTTTCTGCACTTGTAAGATGATAATGCTGCTACATCAAATGTGCAATGGCTGCAGAAATTTCTAGGAGAATAAGCATTTTTGGCTTATATGGGCTTTGTTCCAGGTGAGGAGGTGTTTGCTGATGCCATTAGCAATTGCTATCTGCAATGCTATTAATAATTATTTTATTTCCTGACTAAATTAACCCCTATTCCTCTCACGCTGTGACCTAGACAGAAGGTTGTTGTAGCAGTTTGATTTTCTTAGACAGAGTTTGCACTTAGCTGCATCAGAATAACAAAGAAACCTTTTGAATGTGCGTTGGTCCTGCAGGATGGCAGTTCTGGCTTGGGAACTGCAGGCCTGTTTGTGTTTGTCAGGGCTGCGGCCACTTACTGAACCTGTCTAGGTTTGGCACTGTGGAATGGGGGAAAGTTGGCTCTTGTTACTGGGGTGGTTAAAATTGGAAGTTCATTACAAGGAGGGCTTCTGAGGGTAAGATTAGATGGCATGTGAATTAGCCCTATCCCATGTGTCACCAAACATGCAAGGTACAGGCACAGACTGGAAAATCCCCACCCTAATCTGCTTACTGTCTAACCATAAGAAACACATGGGGTAATGTAAAAGGAAGAAATGAGACCATGATTAGGATGTTCATCAACAGAAGCCTTATAGCTGTGGAGGATTTGCTAGAGGATAGCGAAGGCCCATCAAAACTGTCAGAAGATAATGAAGTAGCATTGAATGTGATTTCTGGGAATGCAGTGGTGTGTGAGGGGAGTGCTATGAGAATTTAGGGTGGTTACTGCAGGCCTGAGTTGCAGAGGCAGGTATAGAGAGGTAAGCACTTGTTTCCAAAGCACACAGCCCTGGCCATTGTGATGCTGGAAGAAGCCGCAGCACTGCCAATGCCTGTGGAGCACAACTGGGGCAGGCTGCAGGACAAATCTGCCCACAGCCTGGGATTGGGTGGGTCTAAGCTGGATGTGCCAGCAGTGCACAGCCAGAGATTGGGTGGGTCTAAGCTGGATATACCAGGTAGGTACAAGGGAGAGCAAGCATACTAGGTTTGTTTGCCTTCCAATATATCAGGTAGTCTAAAAAAGGGCATTGCTTTCCTGATGAATCTGCCTCACACATAAATGGACAACACTCCTTGCCACTTCTGCCACTTGGACTGTGCAAGGTGAGGTGTAGGAGTAGAAGGACATTGCAGAGACAAACTGGAAAAAAAGAGGGTCTCACTGTGTTTCCTGCAAGTGTGCAGGCAGACAGCACACAGGTATGTATGGGAGCCTCTGACAGCATCCCTGACCTCTCTCCTGTGTCTGTTGTGGGTGCCATCATCCTGCAGGATGTGGTCTTTGTGCATAGATCATGAATGGAGTCGAGTGGCTTGATAGCTATAGCTCTGCCACCTGGGCTGACATCTGGGCCATGGTGAGCTATGTGTACGTGCTGTGGTTGGTCTTATCCAGGGACGTGGCTATGGGGAAGTCTCCACTGAAAAACTGGGTAGTGTGAGTGGAACATTCCTTTCCCACCCCCCTCTTTAGACCTGTTCTCTGTGTCTGAATCTGTATTGGTGGCCTGTGCTTGGCATGCTGGCTCTTTTCTGGCATGCTGAGTGGAGAAAGGCTGGCTGGTGTGGTAGGATGAACCAGTTTGGTGAGCCTGCGTATTTCCAGTCTTCAGCAACCACTGATCTCTTTCTGAGCATTTGCATTGCTTGAGTGGCACAGCTCAGTTCTCCTGATGGGTTGTCACCCAACACGCTGTATGTGGATGCTGGCAAGAAGCATGACTGCAGCTGCATCTCTAAAGGAGGCCAGGAAGCACAGGTTGCCAGTCACAGAATATGCTGAGTTGGAAGGGACCCACAGGGATCATCAAGTCCAATCCTTCGCCCTGCACAGGGGCATTCCCAAGAGTCACACCATGTGCCTGAGAGTATTGTCCAAACACTTCTTGAACTCTGTCAGGCTTGGTGCTGTGACCACTTCCCTGGGGAGCCTGTTCCAGCACCCAACCACCCTCTAGGTGAAGACTTTTTTTCTGATATCCAACCTAAACCTCCCCTGACATAAATTCAGGCCATTCCCTTGGGTCCTGTCACTGGTCACCACAGAGAAGAGATCAGTGCCTGCCCTTCCTTTTCTCCTCATGAGGAAGTTGTAACTGCAATGAGGTCTCCCCTCAGTCTCCTTCAGGCTGAACAGACCAAGTGACCTCAGCCGCTCTTCACACGGCTTCCTCTCAAGGCCCTTCACCATCTTCGTTGCCCTCCTTTGGACTCTCTCTAATAATATCTTTCTTATATTGCAGTGACCAAAACTGCACACAACTCATGGACAGTGCTTCCCCTGTCAGATTGCCCATCACAGAAGTCTTACTCCCAAGATACAATGCTTTGCTGTTGCTGTGCTCAAAAAGGTACTTCTGACCTTCACTCCAGCTCCAGGGGCCTCAGCTGTGGGCAGGCAGTTAATTTACCCTCCTCTCCTGGATCCCAACTGACTCAGTCCCAGATTCAGCCTCACAGTGGCTCAGGGTGGAGGTAGCCCTGCAGCTGTGAGATGCCCCGCGGGGGAGGCCAGGCCCTGGGGTAGAGCAAGGCTGCCGTTGCCCTCTCCTTGCAGTTTGAGGACATGCCCATCGAACGCAGGTGGAGGAGGGAGCAGAGGGCTGTTGTCCCCTGCCAGACCAGCTGCCTGCTGGTGACTGAAGACACGGCTCCATCTGGTGGCGTGAAAGGAATTTGTCTGCATGTCTGTTGGAGAGCAGCCCTGACTTTCTCAGACAGATGCAAACTAGTAGTCTCCAACTATTTTTTTCTCCCTTTTTTTGTTTTTTCCTCTTCTAAGGCCTTAGGCCCCTCTGTGGCTTTGCCTACCTGCCTGATGTTCTTGTTTCTCCCCAGCTGCTGCGATTACTTCTTACAGAGAAGCTTAAGCTGACAAATGTGTCCAGCTCTGGGTCATTCCTGGAGCATGGTACAATTTCTCAGACTGGGAAGAAGCATTACAGAGCTGCAGAGGGCATTGCCGAAGGACAGATTCTCTGCTATGGCCTGAGATGTGACAGCTCTGCTCCCATTAGACATGTCCTGGATCAAATCAGAGATCTGTCTAGCCTGATATCTTCTTCCTGGCAGGACATGCCTGGGGAAGGATGGACAAAGTCAGCTGACAGAATCTAGTGTGCAGGCAGGAATGTCTTGAGTTTGGCACTGTGCCTCTATTTTTAATAACCTTCCGTGGATTTCATCCTTTCTGATTTTGACTCATCACCATCTGAGCCCATGAAGACTCCTGGTGTTGCTCCACCTTCTGGAGTTGCAGCTGGATGGAAGACCTCTGCCCTGGGCTAGGAGGTATAAACAGCTGTCCAAGGTTGCATGGACACAGTTCATCTGCATGCTAGAGCTGTAAGTCAGAGCACTTGCCAGAAAAGATTGGTGATATTTCACTGTTGCCTCTCTTTTCCAGGTCCCTTGGAAGGGCCAGAGATGCCAGATGTATCCGGACTGTGAATCTGCTGTTCTTGAGGCAGAGAGGAGCAGTGGCACACAACTGAGAACCAGGTGTCAAGGTGGGCCTTAAGGGGAAACCTTGTACATGAGCTCTCTGTATGACATGGAGTGGTTTGGGTCCTCCAGATCCCACGAGACTCCAAACTGTTTGAGGGCTATGGGACACTTAATCTTGACTGTTGCCTAAGAAGGCAGTGCCAAAAATCAGGTAGGGAAAAGTGGAGGCCTCTTATTTTGTGAAAATCATGGCAGTCCAAGCTCTTTTTCACCCAAATTCCATTCTTTTTTTGGCTGGGTTTTGCTTCTGTTTTGGCATTTTGTGAAACCTGGATGGTGAGGATTGAGGCGTTTCTCCCCTGGGCTGGCAGATTACACAGATGCTAGCATTTCTCCAAGCAGACCAATTTAATGCATTTCCCTTTGATTTTGCTGTTGGCTTCTCACGAGACATCCCATCAGCTTTCCTGTTGTCTCATTAGGATCTCAGATTCCCATAGCAGTACTGTCCCCCGTTTTCTTTGAGCTGGAGCCACAGCAGGCCCTAAAAAAACACTTATCTGGCTGTTTGCTGTGGATTATGTCATTAATCAAATACAGGTACCTCCTGGCCTCTGAATGTGTGTCCCAGCACAGCTTGCATGCCTGGGCTGGAGAAAGGGATGCAGGGTCATGAGCAAGAGCTTGTGAACTAGGAGTTGTGCCGGGCTTTGAAACAGGCACCCCTGCACTAGAAATCACGGTGTCCATTGTTTAGGTCTGACTACTCTCAGTGCCCTAGGAGAGGGCAGCATGGGACTGTTTTCCTGTTACCTCTTGAGACTTCCACATGAGCAGAGAAAAGTATGGGGCCACTGAAAGTCCATCTTTGCAGATTCACATTTTGCCACCAGAGAGCTCCCATTCTCTACACCAAGGGTAAGGAAATAGACCAACATGGCAAAAAAGTCCCTCAGTCTCCACTACATCCCAGCCTCTGTAGTATTGACTGGACTCTGGTGCTTGCTCTGCCTTAAAAAAAAAAATATTTTTTTAGTGCTTGGATGAGTTTTGCCCCTTCATTGCAGGCTTCTTAGAAGAAGGAGAACATTGAGGCTGGGAATATTGATGCTGCCTAATGAGAGAAAACACAGTGAGCAGGTGGAAAGCTGATAGCAGCAGTGCATTTTTTCTCACTCTGGTGATTTTGGACAGTCTTGCTGATAGAATAGCAGGACTTGAGAGGGTCTGCCTGCAGCACACTCCCGCTGGTAGTTGACCTACAGAAGAATGTAGCACTTGTGCTTCTGGAAAGAGTGTTGGCACATCCAGTAAGTTTAGTTTTGTGCTAATTTGGGTTTGTAATCACCAGTGATACCACTTTTTCTGTTTGATTGCAGGGTTGAAGCATTTACTCCCCCAGACAATGTAATTCTGGCCTTTTCCATCCATTCTCCTCCCTTCCAATGCCTAGTTCCTTTCCTGCTCTTACCTGGCATTTTTGCAAACACATATTTCATTCTCCCATATTTCTGCTTTGCTGACGAGAAAAGTCTTTCACACCTGGAGGAAAAGATAATTGGTATAGTTCATTCAATATGTGAAACTCATAACTGAAAAATTAGTAGTCTGAACACTATCGTGAGTTTGGAAAAATGACTGCATTCCATTTTTTGAAGCTGATGTGATTGATGTCTTGCTTTCTGTCATGGGTTTACTTGTTCTAAAAAACCAAACGAGAATTTTTCTTTTCCGTGCTGCATGTGGGGGAGGGATGTTGAATGGAGAGGACAGTTTTCTGCCTTGGGTGATTATCTACACAAAGGAGCTGGCTGGCAGAACTACATTCCAGCCTGATAGCCCTCTCTGGGGCTGGGTGTGGGGTGGGGAGTTTTTCTCCCGTCCTCTCCTTGGAAAGCAGCGCTTCACTTTGTGCCTTAAGGGGAGCAAGGTGTGTTGAAAAAGCTTGGAGGCCGTTTTGCTCTCGACCTGGTCATCTGTCTGTTCTCCGGCCTCGGTTTGTCTACGGTCTGCTCTCTTGCCAGCCGAATCTGCTCAGATTTCATCGTAGAGTTTGTGCCCACCGACGAACAAAGGGGGAGTCCTGTCTACAGTCAGCCGCAGACAGCGTGAGTTTAGTGGGAAAGAAACTGCCTTTCTTTCCCCTTTCTTCCCCTTCCCCTCCTTGGTGGGGGCGGAGATTTCCATTTCGGCTTCTCCCGTGATCCGGGGCCCCCCGCGTGGCGACCACCAGTGGTCCAACAGCGCCCCCTGCCAACCGTGATTAGAATTGCGCAAGAGGATAGAAGTATCAGACTGTCTCCTTTTTGAAGGGGACTTTTTGGGTACAGGATTATTGCTTAGTTGTTTTTGTGTTCTGTTACTGTTTTTGCCAATATACATATATCCTTTAATAAAGGGTTGTTATTTCTTCCTTTTTCCATACTTCCTGGGTTGGAACCTCTTAATTTTGGCTTTGCAGTTGCTGAGAGAGAAGAGTTTGGTCTACCTCATAACTCATCCTCCTTAGCAAAACACTCCAGTCTCTTTAAACTGAGACACTTTCCTTCTGCGTCTTTCCTCCCAGCCCGTTAACCATGCTGAGAGCGTGAGGAAGCCCTGGCTCACCTGGAGCCTGTGAGACATTGGCCAAGGAGCAGTGGCCACCCCCATGGCATCTTGGCAGAGATGAATCAGCAAACTAATGCCCTCAGCTCCTGGCTCCAGCAGAGTTTGAAGGGCCCATCCTTGCAACTGCTCTCAATTTGCTCCATCTCCTCCATTTTTGTTTAGACACCCCTTTTCTGTGGTGCCCTGTGCCTGACAGAAATCTGAAAGGAACTGAGGCCTGAGGAGAATAAAGCACTAGAATTCACAACAGTCACAGCTCATCAGATCTACTCTCCCTTGTCCTGTGTTAGAGCCTCTTCAACAAAGGAGCTGTCTACCAACAGTAGCAAACGTACCTCAAAAAAGCAGCAGTAGCTGTATATTTACAACAGCCCTTTCCTGTAGAGCCTCCAACCAGTGGATGTAAGCTGTGTGACTATGCCCCAAAGACTGGCTCCTTCCTCTCCTTGCCTTGCTGGCTGGAGATGATGAGTGAGGGCCACACTTGACTGTAGCCAAGAGGAAATACACAGCTCAGTGCTGTGGGAATTTTTATTGCAACTTATTGTGCTCTGCAAATTGTCTGGTGCAAACCTCGGCTTGTTTTTCTCTGTTCCTTTTGCTTCTTGCTTGGAGTCCTGCAGGTTGTCTTGGGAGGTGGGTTGCCTGCAAGTTTCATTATGCTGACCACTGATGGGCAGTCATAATGCAGGGGAAGTGGGGCTAGAGGTAATCAGAAAAGCTAGGTTAGTCTAGAAAGTGTGATCTTCGAGGGAAGATGGAGGGAACTGGAAGGCTGTTTAATTCAAGGAAGAGAGGACTTCAGAGGTTATAACAATCTCCAAAAATCTGTGAAGTCAGCTGTGGAAGAATAATGTGTTCTTGTGTTCATGTTAGCTCTTACTATTAGATTATAGCAAGGGACATCAGAGTTTGAAATCAGAAAAATATTTCCAAGGATGAGGATAGCAAACCAGAAAACCAAATTCCTTAGTAAAGAAATTAGTGTCCTTTCTTAGAGATTCTTAAAAAGCAGCATCAAAAATGGTGTAACTCTTATCCGTGTCCTCAGCTGGTCTGTCAGAGCAAAGGACGTTCTCAGCAAATATTCCTGTAGTATACAAAGAGAAGAGTTGAAGCACACCTCAAGAGACTCGCCAGGCAAGTTTTTTCTCCAGGAAATCAAGGACACAGCTCTGGCACTTTTCAGTTTGACATGGCTTCCTTCTGCTTTTGGTTGGAGTTAGCTGTCTGGAAATACTATCCTAATCTTGGAGACAAGCCTGTTCTGCAACACAGAATCTGGTTGCAGATTCACCCTTTTCTGGTCACGACCATCTCTGGCTGCACAGGGCAGTAGCATTACATCAAGCATGATCTCCCCAAGCTAGAAATAGAAAATTGTAGCAGTCCTAAGTACAGCTTGGCCATGTATGTCCCTGTTTGAAATAAGAGACTGCAGCAGCTCTAGGGAGTTTGTAGGAGGCCCACAGGGTATTGTTTTTTTCTTGGGAGTGCTGAGTTAGGCAGGATTGTCAAGCAAGGCAGAAGCTTTGTGCTGTCTGACATGCTGTGAGCTCCATCTTGCTGAAAAGCAAACCAGTTGAACTGAACAGCCACCTCAGAGAGAGACATCATCTGCAAAACACTCCCCTCTTGGTGAGCTCCCTGTTCTGGGTGCAGAACCTGATTCTCACTCCAGCATGCGGGAATTTTAAGTGGAGTATGAACTCATGCTGGTGCCAAATGAAGTGTCCTCTCTTTCTCCTGAACCATGTAAGGGATCTTTAACATTAATGAATTGTCTTCACTGCTGCAGCAGCTGTGAAATGAGTTCCACTTTTAGCTGAAACAGGCTGCATTTTGACTGAAGAATTTTTCCTCTCCAGATTTTCACTAGAAATTTATATTTAAAGAATGTATATCTTGTATATCATTGACCATCAGAACAGCTTCTTAGCCTGAAGGAATCCTGATTTGCAACACAACTGTGTCACAGGACCAAAACTCTGGGTGGAGAAGGCATGTCCTGGAAAGTTGTTTAACCTGTGAGGGTGCATCAAAGCAGCAAGACTCCTGCAATAGTAAACCTAGCGCAGGTCAGGGGAAATGTTTCAAGTCAGGGTGAATTTGGGGACATATATTGGAAGACCAGCATATGCTGGCATGAATCTGTGTGTGAATATCCAGAGGCAAAAAAGGCAGGGCTCTTCTAGAGTGGAAGAACTCGCTTCATCATTTATTTACACACTCTAACACTTGCATTTTCACGAGGCTTAGATATCTCATGTATTTGCCAGAACAAACACAGGAGGGGACTCTTCTAAGCTCTTGATAGAATAATTAAGGAGCTTCATGTCTACTTGTGATTTTCCACTTTTTTGAGTTTACTTTGAAATGTGAACATAAAATCTGGCACTATGTGAATTTGTGATGGTCTTGGGAGCACTGCTTCTCCATAAAACAATGTCTTGATCCTATCCAAGCACAGATGTTTGTCTGTGACAGCTGTAGTATCAATGATATATGCTTGTTGTTGAGCTATCCAAGTCATGCTTTAATGGAAATTCTTTAAAGAAGTTGCAAATAGTTCATTTTAGTAGACTGATTCAGCAAACGTTGCGTAAACTCTTTGGAATAGTGTCTGAATTACACAAATAAGAGAGTTATGTGTGAAGGTGAAATGGAAAGCAGTATTTTTTTATGGCATGTTGCAGTGGCTACCAAGCCTTATGGTTTTGTCAGCAGTCTCAGGATGTTGTATATAGTTTTTTCTTAAAATCCCAGCTGCTGGAAGGAAGATATTGAATAAGAAACTCCATTTTATCATTTTAAAAAAGTAAGTTTCTAACCTTCATGGTTGCATAGAAAAGTATGAAAACATGAGCTGATTGTTCCAGATAGGATGTTGAAATCAAAACCAAACACAATGGAAACCTTGTTCATAGCTTTATACTCCAGACAGCAAGTAAACAGGCTTAGATTGGCTTAGAAATTTTGCAGTTTGGAAATGTATCAATGTCTGACTTTTGGGATCTGACTGCTGGCATGATGGCACATGTGATTTTGGAATCAGAATTTAGCCTCTTTTGTTATACCAGGTTGACAAATTTATAAATTAATAAAATGTAAATATTTCTGCCAAATAAAAGAGTTTTAAAAAATATTTCTCTGGTGAGAACACTTTTTCAAAACTTTCTTCAACATTGCTCGAGTCCCATTTTGTCTCTTGTTTTGTTTCTCAACTAATTTTGTTCTGCTCTAATTTGAGAATTCCATCTTGAATCTCTTTTGGTTCATGCTTCTCGACTTTAATATTTCTGTCTGGAGATTTCCATTTGGTTAGGTTTTGATGTTGACCTCAGATTTGGTGTTATCTTCCCTTCCTCATTTTGGCTTTTTCATCCTGTTCTTTGCTTTTCAGCTTTGTTTTGAGCTAGTGCTGTAAAATTCCACCTTGGGTGATGGGTGATGTTCTACCTGGACATTGCCTTTTGTCATCTCAGTGCATGATGTTTCCAAGTGGCTCAGTGCAGATACTCAAAGTCACATTCGAGCTCATCTTCTTGTGACTGGGGAAGTTGTTGGCTTGTTTTGTTTTTCCAGAGGATCTGAATGAATTTTTCGTGAAAGACATGCACGATACAGGAATTCATGGAGACAGAATTCCAATTCTCCAAGCAGAACTAGCCCTGAGGGTCTGTAGTGGCCAACTTCATGGCTGCACTGTTAGCGAAGTTGTTGGGTGCTGTGAGAGAAATTGGAAGATGAAAAACAAAGAGCTCCTTCTCTCTCCTATACCCCATTGTGTGACATGGTAATGGTGACTGTGTAACTTCATCCATGCTGCAGCCTTCAGATAAGCTTGTTCTTGCGTTCTGCTTCTGGAGCTCATAGGCAAATTGAAGCTCAGAGTTTGCCTTAGCCCAAACTGTGGCACCTTCTGAAAGCTGGAAGACAGATGTCTAAACACACTTTCTGTGGGCCTAAGATCTTGTTCTTAGGAGGTGGAAGAATTGGGCAGAGTCCATCCACAGCAGTGAGCCTGAACTTAGTCCCTACATCATGAATATTTAGAGGTCAAGCTACCAGCCAGCAAATGAGAAGAGAAACCCTGTTGTATCCCAGGCCTTAAGGCTGCCCTTTGTCTTGCAGAAGAGTTCCCTTTCCTGCCTCTAGGCTATGTTGAGAACTGTATTCCACATTTGCAGAATGAAAATAAACAGCCTGCAAAACCCTGGTTATTGCAGTCTGAAGGGACAGCAGTGGGATGAGTATGACCTACACAGGAAGCTCACGGCAGGAATATTTTGTTGGGGAAGTCCTGGTCCAGGGAAAGTCAGGAACCAGCATACAGCACTGTTCCAGGCTGTCAGCCCATCTGAAGAGGATCCTGATGTATATATGACAGCTGTGGGTGCATGAATCAAAGAAAGGCTTGATGGTGTGAAGTTAGTTTGTTTCTGTACAGACCAACTGCAGGTGAAATTGTTTCTTTGGAGGCAGTACAACCAGCGGCTCTTATCCAAAGGGAGTCATCTTCTCTAAACCTGTCCTGCACTGTTTTGGAAAGGGTATAGTTTTTGTCCTAGACTGTGGGAGGCAGATTGTTTTTAGGGGAGAAACCACAAGTTAGTACTTCCATACAGGACTGAATTCTGCAACTGTCCCTACAGGCTGCCGTCTCTCAGCTTCTCCTATAGCGAGGCTCCCAGTATATAGGACCATTTCTTCCCTGGGGAAATTTCACGTAAGTGAAATTATTTTTAACCTGGACTTTACATTGTTTAGGATATACAAAGTACTATCCCTAGTGTGATTTTTCTTTTCCAGATGTTTTTTGTTACTTTGTTACTTCACAGAGTAAGATCTGCAGCTCTGAGCATCAAATATATGAGACAGAAGTGTCTTAATCATAGTCAGGCTTGGTAGATTTATTTGTCAGAGTCCTTGTCTTCAGAGCCTAAGGATTTGTATCTATCATCTTGTAGCTTATCATGTAGTAGAACCCTGGCTGTCCAGGGCTTTGAGGTCACGTGGATAATTAGCAGTCAAGCTCTTACATTCCATCTAATTCATGTCTTTCCCAGTATTATTAACCTCATATGGCCCTGTTTATGCTGGATGCAAGGCAAGGGCCAATCCATACATTAAGCAATGTACGTCAGGCTCCCGGAAGGTAGGGGCAGGGGTAGCTTTACTCCCATTTTAAACCAACATTCCTTTGACCCATACCTCAAAGCATGAACTGACTTACCTGTGTTTGCCAGCCTTTAATAAGTGGTGTGTACACACATTTCAGAGGAACCTGTTGGGTGGTACATAGCGATTAGAAGCACTTGAGCAGGCAGTTAGAGAAAGAAAAAGTTAGAAGTGGCATGGCCAGATCTATAAAGATACTGTGGCACTGCTGGTCTCCAGAGCAACTAGTTACCCCTTTTCAAAGCACTAATTTCCATATTGCTACTTAAAATTCCTGACTGGGAACTTTGTAGAAAGCATGACCTTAGAATGGGGCTGGTGGGACTCAGCATTCTTGCTGGAGCAAGATGCAGTAACAGAATGAGTGAAAAATGTCAGTTTTTATTTTTCATTACAGGCTTTCTCAGCCTCTCCTCAAACTCCAAAGTGTGTTGGAGTTTGACCATCAAAGCCCAAATCCATGAGCTGTAGTAGATCTGAGAGAAGTAGTTCCTGACAGATGTGATGCCTTTGGTCTTTATTTCTCCTTCCTTCTCCTCACCCAGCTGGGGTGTCATTGCAAGGTGACTCTGATGTTTCTCACCAGTGCTCTTGATATTTGCCAGTAATCACTGTGCCTGGTTGCTGGGTATGTTTGGGATTGGCTTGATGGAAGACTCTTACCTGAGTAATGTCTCCTGAGTAATGTCTCCTGTGAGATATTTGTTCCCTGTATGGAGTTTGGTTTTTCCTTTTTTTTTTTTTAAAAAAAAAACAAACAGGTTTGCTGTGTAAGAGCATGCAGGAAATTTGTATTTTGGCCTTATTCTGTAATATTTGCTTGAAATTGGCTAGTCCTGTAAATATTCTTGAAAGTATCAACAGAGAGCTCAAAGTTCTGTTGTACAGTGTAGTAACACAATTTTTAAGCATTGGATATAAGTGATCTACTAAAATGTCTAGTTTCTTGTTAGAATATGAGTAGGACAGAGCAGATAAAATACAACTCCTAGTTATCAGAGGTGGAAGAGACCCTGACTGTCCATTTTGTCCATTTCCCTGCCAGCATACAGGATTAGCCTAAGTAAAACTTAATAATAGCTGTTTATCCAGTGTCATGAATTCTATCCCCTCTCCTGGCAAATTCCACATCTGAACAGAATAAACTAGATGTGCCTATTCCTGCAATGGTTGTTGAAATCTGGATCCAGTGTTTCATTGCATGCTGAAAGGCATGAATTCATTCCAGAATAAACCCAGCATGTATCTACTTTACTTGTGTGCATGTTTGTGCTTCAGACTCTTGTATGAGTGCCTTAGGGTGCTGCTGCCTTCCTCTCTCTGTGTTACCAGATGTTTTGGGTTTGTGAACAGTTGTTTTTTGGGGTACTGTATCTCTGTCCTAATGAGCTGAGAGAAAATTTGTCTGACTTGGGTGTTGAGGAACACACTAGTGCAAATAGCTGATGTGCAGCTGAGGTGCGAGCTGCAGATTATGTCTGGGGTGGGGGGAAATGGCTGGAGCCCTTGGCAAGGGGCCATGACCTGGCACTGACCCTTTCCCTGACAAAGGGCTTGGGGGGGGGTAGCTGGTCACCCAGAGACTCTGCAGGAGCCAGTGAACAGCGAGAGACCCCAGACTAAATATCACCACTGGAATGGATGCACAGACTGTAAGGGTACAATATCCAAGGAATTCCTTTGTTGGGGGTCCCTCCCTGGGTGGCACCAGCTCGAGGTGTTTTGGTGTTAAAGGAACCAGTTGTGTGGGACTCTGCTATGGAAAACCTGGGGCTGAGCTGATGAGGGTGGTGTGTGGTAAGTGGGGCACTGCTGCGAAGGTGCTTTGGTCCCAGCAGTGAAAATCTGGGATGGTAAGAATTTGATTGTCAGAGTGGTCCTGAATGATCAGACAGGAAGGTTTCCTTAACACTGGGAATCTGATAAGAGCTGCAGAATATTTTTTGAGAGTTACTGAATGGTTTGGTAGGGTGTTTTTACTGCAAAGATGCTCTAGTGAAAAGTAATGATGTATCTTCCCAGTATAATGCTGGGAAAATTTACATCTATGTCTCCATTCCTTGCCTGGATTGCTTTTTGAAGCCCTAGTTTGCCAGTTTTGTGCTGTGAAAAAGGAGAGAAGGTTAACCCTCTGCTTCCTAAGGCTAGGAGGTGCCTTCCTGTATACACGTGGCTTAGGTTCTTCGTGATGGCTCCACCACCCTTCCTTCCACCTGTCCCCTGCAACCCCTCAGCTGTCTACAAGCTCCTCTTCAGTTCATTAAGCTTAGAGGTTGCCCCTGTACTTCCTGGGCCCAAGAAGTGAGTCCTAACCAGTAGGCTTTGTGCATTGGAAGTTTCAGGCTTTTGAAGCTGGGTGTTGACTTTGTCCTGGGGACAGCAGATGGGGACTAATTTTGACACTGAAACATCAGGAGGCTGATGATCTGGCAAACTGCATTTTTGGATTGCTATAGATCTGGAGACTATGTCACCTGGTGTGAAGAGTTGTGCCTGGATTTCTGCCATAGGATAATCATGTGGGTCCTATGTTCCCTAGTTTTCCAATAGGTGTCAAGAAGACACTTGGAAAACACTGGCCTTGGCACAGCTGCAGACAGAACCGTGGTTGTGGGGGTTTGCAAGCAATGTGACCTCATCCGTGACCCCAGATGCCTTTACAGAATCTGGCATATCCCTGTACTATCTCCCCTTCTCTGCCTGGTTCATCTTGACTCCTCTGTACTTGGCATTAGGGATACTGTGTTGCAAAAATATGTCAATGGACAACATTTCTGCACTTCCTCGTAGTAATGCCCCAAGTCAGGGTGTGGCTGGTTACCAGACCTGGTTTGTGTTTATTGCTGCAGATCCAGTGCTTGCTTTGAGCCTTGGTTGATGCCGCACTCTCCACTGTGGACTTGCAGCTCCATATAAATAAGAGGCCTGCCTGGGATTGTCTGTGGAGTGGGCTTCCTCTGCCTTATCCCAGCTAAGGGAGTGTGCTGAGCTTGGCTGAGCCACAGGGCTTACATGTTATACTGTAAGTGGCGGCTTGCAACAGCTAGGAGGATTGTCTGATTGCTAGGGTGGGCAAGAAGGGAAAGAAGGGAATTTCCTGCCCATGCTGTGAATTTTAGAGGAAAGATACATATGTGGGTTTGGGGGAAGAAAGGATGACAGACTTCCATTCAGCGGCACTTGGGCGGTGGAGTTCCAAGGAGTGTTCCCTTGTTATGCAGTCAGAGGAAGAGTAGGATTGATGCCCCAGCACCGGGGTAAACAGATTTAAGGCAGGGACTGAAGTGGGAGGTTGGCCAGTGTGTTTTCATGGCGAGGGAAAGGGGGAAAGGAGGGACTTGCCAGCTTATGTGGAGTATGTGTACCTGCAAACAGATGTGAGGTGTCTGCAAAGTTTTATAGACTGGACTGGTCCTATAGGCTTCACAGAGAAGCCAAAGAGTAAAAGAAATTAAATATATGTGTGGTTCTGTGCACACCCTTGCATCTTTTTGTTTACTGAAAGGGCAGTGCTCCTACATATGAAGCACAGAGCTTGTGCTAGGTATTACTTTGTTTGAGGGGCTTAGCAGGTTTTGCTGTCTGTCATAAGGATGGTGGCTGGATTTGGACTATGTTCTTGAAGGGCCTTATCATCCTTTGCAAGGTAACGCTTCAGAATACTTTAGGCCCCCTTGGAAGTTACCACTGTTGGTGTCTGTGCTTTTTGGTGTCATTTTGCTGGATAATTACTGGCACTGCCTGCTTCTGAGCATTCAATATATACAGCTACAATTTAATTTTTCCCTCTGAAAACTTCCGCTGGGAGAATTGGTGTGGTTGGGCAGGTGTTTAAGCTGTGTCGATCTTCATGGGATGCATTCTCTACAAAATAGGCAAAACTGTAATTGCAGCTAAAGCCTCTTATTTCTTCTGTTTAATTGTGTATGGCTGGTAGCAAGGATGTCAATGAAAAAACAGCAAAGTTTTTTTAAAATTGGTATTAATGAGAATAGACACATGGGAAGAGATACATGAGCACTGCTTCCAGCCTAAAAGCAGCAGCTGCAGAAACAAACACTATTTCTTTATCAAGACTGTGGTACGTCCAAGAGGAAAAAATGCATGAGGCTGGGATTCAGTGGTTGGGTTCCAGGTCTCAGCCCTGCTAATGGTTGCCTGAGAGCCCTACGTAAATGAATTTCTTTCTTCCTGGCCTGGGACTCTTCTGTGGTCCTGAGACAAACTGTTTGCTTACTTCTACTTGGGTTTTTTCTTTCCAGAATCTCTAATCTCAACTGTTTGGTGACTGCATGACTCCTAAACTAGCAGGACACTTTTGCCATTCAAATTCAGCAGCGTGGGCTTCACAACAGAGGATGGCTTGTTGAGGGGACTGGTTGGGCTGTTCTCTTGAGCATGGGTAAGAGGGTTTTAGAGAAAGTGCCTTTCATGTGGGGTCAGGATCAGAGAGGACTGCAGAGGCCTCTTCTGCAGTGGGATCTCCCTCCCTTGCTGACACAGGCTTTGACTCACCCCAGCAATGAGTCACACATGGTGACTAAGCTG